CACATGCCGGCGTGTACAGCTGTGAATACTGGAAGACAGAGTCTGGGCGAGAGATCCCATCGGAGAGGAGCCAAAACATCCCCATCACAGTGACCGGTGAGCCCCTGCTGTTAGCTGTCCCCATGGCCGGGGGTCTTCCCTCTATGCACAGGGCAAAACAGGCCGGTCACGTGGCTCCAGACTGGGGTCAGTTTTACCTCCCAGCTCTGGTCAGTGTCAGTTCCTGTGTTCTTGGAGAACATGGCACTTTGGGGTTATGGGGAAGGGGATCTGGCAGAGAGATAAGGATGGGGTGTGGGGGTCCCAGGCAAGCAACAGAAGCGGCTTCAGTTTATAACAGGAGTTGAGCAGACGGGGTGTTTAATTGAAACGCTCATGTGGGGCCAGGCCTGTAACGTGCATCAGTGTCACAGAAACATCGACTCTGAGGCTGGAGGGGCCGAGTGATCGTCTGCTCTGACCCCACCGAGCGCAGGGACCAGCCCTGAGTGAGCCCTGCCTGGCACAGGGCAGATCCTGTAGAAACACCCCTAGGGCTGGTGGGAAACTGCCTGTGATGGCACAGCCCTGTGCCCTGCTCTGGGTGCTGGGGGCCGGGATGGAGGCAGCCTGGCTTGATGATGAGAGCTGGGCCAGACCTGGGAACAAGGGAGGAGTGGGGCAGGCTGGAGGGGAAACGGGGCTAATGGCAGGGAGGAGGGGGCTGTGAGAAGCTCTGGGTGGGACTGGCTGAGGGGCCAGAGGGGTAGCTGTGGGGCACTGCTTCTACAGAGCTCTCACATTCCTCCCTCCTCCCTTCCAGACTGGTTGTCTGTCCTTGAACTCACTCTGAGCTCACCCTACCCAGTCCTCCTACGGGGGGAATCTGTGACCCTGACGTGCTCAGCTCACAGCACTGACACCGTGTCCGGGATCCGGTTCTTCAGAGATGGCCGGAGAATCGGCTCCGGAGAGCTCCAGTGGTCTCATTACCGTGTCAGCACCTCCCTCCTGCTGTCGAATGTGTCTGAGTCGAATGCCGGGGTGTACAGCTGTGAGTCGTGGAGGACAGAGTCTGGGCAAGAGGTCCCACTGCAGAGGAGCCAAAACATCTCCATCGCAGTGACTGGTGAGACCCCCTGGCTGCCGCTGTTGGCTGGGCTGTGGCGGGGGGTGTCTGCTCCATGCGCTGGGCGATACAGCTCAGTCACTTGGCTCCAGACATGGTCACTATGGGGTCAGTTTTACCCCATCTCTGGTCAGTGTCAGTCCCTGTGTTCCTAGAGCACCCAGCACTTTGGGGTTATGGGGAAGGGGACCTGGGAGGGACACGGGAATGGCGGGGAGGGGGGGAGGCTCAGGGAAGCAACAGAAGTCACTTCAGTTTATAACAGGAGATGATCATCTGGGTTGCTTAACTGAAGCCCAGATCTGGGGCCAGGCCTGGAACGTGCGTCAGTGTCACAGAAACATCGACTCTGAGCCCAGAAGGGCCGAGTGATCGTCTGCTCTGACCCCACCGAGTGCAGGGACCAGCCCTGAGTGAGCCCTGCCTGGCACAGGGCAGATCCTTCAGAAAACACCTCCGGTGCTGGTGGAAAATTACCCTTGATGGCGCAGCCCCGTGCCCTGCTCTGGGTACTGAGTGCCGGGATCGAGGCAGTGTGCCCTGATGGTTAGAGCGGGGCCAGACCTGGGAACAAGGGAGGGGCAGAGCAGGTGCAGGGCAGCAACAGGCTGGATGCCAATGGCAGGAGACAGGCACGGAGCAGGGACCCTCATAGCAGAAGGACATCAGAGCACCTCAGCTGGGTCATTTCCTGGCTTCTTTTATTAATTTTAAATTTGCTCCCCATTCATTTCATTTGGTGTCCTCTAGTTCTTCTATTATGGGAACTAATGAAGAACTTTTCTTTATTCACCCTCTCCACACCACTCATGATTTTATAGACCTCTATCATATCCCCCTCCGTCTCCTCTTTTCTAAGCTGAAAAGTCCCAGTCTCTTTAGCCTCTCTTCATATGGGACCTGTGCCAAACTCCTGATCACTTCAGTTGCTCTTTTTTGAAAGTTTTCTAATGCCAAAACATCTTTTTTGAGGTGAGGAGACCACATCTGTGCACAGTATTCCAGATGTGGGCGTCCCATAGCTTTATACAGGTGCAGTAAGATATTCTTCGTTTTGTCTTCTATCCCATTTTTAATAATTCCTAGCATTCTATTTCCTTTTTTGACTGCCGCTGCATGCCGCATGGATTTTTTCAAGGCTATGGGGATTACAGTGGGTGAGAAGCTGGATATGAGTCAACAGCGTGCCCTTGTAGCAAAGAAGGAAATGGCATTTTAGGTTGCATTAAGAACATTGGCAGCAGATCCAGAGATGTCATTATTCCCCTTTATTCGGCTCTGGGGAGGCCACATCTGGAGTATTGTGTCCAGTTCTGGGCCCCCCACTACAAAAAGGATGTGGACGCATTGGAGAGGGTCCAGCGGAGGGCAACCAAAATGATTAGGGGGCTGGCGCATATAACTTATGAGGAGAGGCTGAGGGACTTGGTCCTGCCTTGAGGGCGGGGGGCTGGACTCGATGACCTCTTGAGGTCCCTTCCAGTCCTAGTATTCTATGATTCTATGACTTGGGTCTGTTTAGTCTGCAGAAGAGAAGAGTGAGGGGGGATTTGAGAGCAGCCTTCAACTTCCTGAAGGGAGGTTCCAAAGAGGCTGGAGAGAGGCTGCTCTCAGTAGTGACAGATGGCAGAACAAGGAGCAATGG